CACCACGTATTATCCCGTTTTGCCAACTTCATCCTCCTCCGCAAAGGCTTAGCTACCGAAATACTGACACGGATCCAGTAAAACGCCTTCCACGACCGGTCATCAAACCTCTCATCCCCTTTCACAAATCCACCAAGAAAATTACCAACCTGCTCCTGCATGATCATGGATGTATACCCCATTGGGAGTCCATAAACCTGAACCCACATATCCACACTATCAAGCACCACATCCACCGGAAGTATCCCATAATCCACCGGTCTACACACCAAGGTGTGATTATCGAACGACCATGGCCCCTCATCCAACACACGAGAATACAAACATAAACAAATTAGGTTGTAATTCTGAGACTTGTACACCACACACGGGCTACCACACGGAAGCCAGAACCTCCCGCATGAACTCCAGTTTCACCATGCGCCTCGTCAAGAATCTGCCGACGAGCACCCACGTTCGCCGGTTCCCGGCCGTCTCCACCGCGTCGAACTCACCTGCCGGTACCAGTACGTCATCCTCATCATGCAAGGTAATCTCTGCATACCCCTCCACCAACTCCTCTTCAACCGCCTGGTTCGTCTGTCGCTCCAACACACAGCCGACGCTCGCCGTTCACACCGCAACTGCTCGTCGATCAGCACAGAAACAATCCGCACCGATCACCAGCCAAAAACAATGCCAAAACGGAACCCTAGGAAGAAACCCTAGAAAAAAATAGAGAGAACTCTAGCAAAACCCTAGAGAGAGAAGTTTGTTTCCAATCTTTTAAAATATCTTTACATTACTTTTTGATATTTCAATTTTGTACAAGTGATCTCAATCAACCCCCAAAAATTTGTTACGATTTGATCACATATATAGCTGGTGGCTACTCAGGTGCAGCTCAAAAGTAGAAGCAACAATTGATATTGGATTGTTTTTTGAGTTTTAGTTTCAAATTCGATTCTTTCATTTTTACTCTATGATATAATATTTTTATTATGTAGATTTCAGAAAAAAATGTCTATATCAAATATTTGTGAGAGAGAATATTGAATAAAAGTTGGAAGTAACAAGTCAGAGACCATATAATATTTTCTTTGTTGTTTTCTATCAAAAAAAAGTTGATAGCTATAATACATTGAATATTACTTTTCTCTCAAAGTTTATCCCTTTAATTATACTCTTCAATATGACAAGCATGAATAAGACATCTATATTATATAGATTGAGAAAAAGTTGTATACATTAAAAATTTGAAAGTACATATAGGCTCTGTTTGGCAAACCTAGCTGAAAAGCTATAAGCTAGGAGCTAAAAGCTGAAAGCTAAAAAGCTATAAGCTCGGAGCTAAAAACTGAAGAGCTGTTAAGCTAGCTGTTATGATTGAAAGTGTTTGGTAAAATTAGCTTTTTGATAAGCTGATAAATGTAAAAAGACTAAAAAGGACATCTTCATAAAATTTAAATTAGTTTGTTTAAATATTAAAATTTTACATTTTGGCTTTAAAAAAAATTAACATTTTGAAATAAAAGTTATAAAACTATTAGAATAATCATGATCTAACATCTTATAATGAAGTAGCAATATTGTTGCAAATCTCAAAATAATAATAATAATAATAATAATAATAATAATAATAATAATAATAATAATAATAATAATAATAATAATAATAATAATATTTGCGGTGAAAGTTGATGATAAAGGAGAAGAGAAAAGAGTTTTAATTGAGAATGGTAAATTATGTCATTTCTTTAAAATAATCAGGATAAAAATAGAAAAAAAAGTTAGGAAGCTATGAGCTTATTTTGAAACGCTACCTTAGGTAGTGTTCCAAAATAAACTCTTATTTTAAGCTATGAGCTTATTTTGGGAACATTACCAAACAGAGCTTATAGCTTATTAGTAGCTTAAAATAAGCTATAAGCTCCTAAATAAGCTCGGTCAAACAGAGCCATAATATTTTTTTAAAGAAAAATATTTTTTGAGCTTCCAAATTATACTTCAGACTTTTACCTTTTCATTCAAATTTTTCATGACATTCACAAGATAACGATAATTTATTATTTCTTTCCAAAATCCATTTCGTCGTCCAGTAGCGACGACTGTCTTTTTGATTGATACCGTTGTTGCCCTTTGGTTGGGCATTGGTGCAACATTACCTATTGATCAATCTCTAACTTTAGGTCTTTTTTAAAATTGATTGAATTGTGAAATTGTGTATCTAGGGAATAGTCTCTTCAAAGTGAATTCTCCCTAGATACATCTAGTTAATTAAATTCTGAATTGAGTTCGAATATTCTATATGTATATGTATTAGCCAAAAAATATGTGATGGTTTCTTTGAATTTCATTAAAAAAAAAATGAAAACAAAGACTTAAAATTAATTTTTTGGTTAAATCAATTGCGAAATGTTTTTCTAGAATGCCCAACATCTGATTTATATCTTCTATGTGAAAATGCTCTATTTTTGAAAATCTATGCAGTGTACAATATCTCTTTTTTCCCCAATTCATTTGTACAAAGAAAGGGTTTAAAAAAAATGTACAAAATAAGGAGTCTATTATTACTTCGCATGTGAGTTGGACTATTCAATCCATATTACTGTCCAAAAAAAAAAAATTCAGTTTCGATTCTCCTTAACAACATTATTACTGGGAATCGAACCTGAACTTTTTTTTAAGGGGAGACGCGCGTTTTTAATAAAACGACGTCGTTTTTGCATCCGTATGCACCATGCATGGTGCATACGGATGCACAATATAACTACTCCTAAAATTGACATCTACAACAATAATGGGCATTCTGGATTTTATATTACTTATCCCCTTTCAATTCCCATGTATACCAAATATTAGAATTGATATTCCCAGTAATTTTATTCCTGTAAACCAAACATTAGAATTTAAATTTCCACTTTATTCCCAATAATTCATCTTCCATGAAATTGCAATTCTTTTCCCACGTAATTCTATCATTCTAACCAAACGCCCCGTTAATGCTAAAAAAAATCACAAATCTACTTGCGTGTTATCTGTAAATGAGTAGAAGAGGTAGAAATAATTTACCCCTCTGTTATCCTGTCGGGTTAAGGTGTAGAAGCTTTGAGGGCGAAAGAATTTTGTCTTTTATAAACAAGGCAAAAGCAATTTGAAGTGGGTTTAAAGAAGGCGATGATCTTTTAAGTGTTTTTAATTTGCTGCATGCTTACCAGGCCAATAACAAACTATATCTTTTGGAGTAAATTATTATGTACGGAGTATATGATTTTTAATATAGTCATTATATTTAAACTTTGCATTTTCGTTAATTTCATCATTGATGTTATCATTTAGAATTCGTTTGGAAACCGAAATGAAATGATCAGTTATTAAAGTTGAAAAATTAAAACTTACAACAATGCAGAAATATTATCAGGAGGAGGCAATGTCATATCCACATGAGAAGTCATAGTATGTTACCTCAGATCATATCCAACAAGCTAGTCAATTAATAGATGAAAAAGAAATAGTTAAAAACACAAGCCAAGAGAGTAATTCAAGTAAGCAACAGTGACCTGTATGTGTCATTTGCCAAGAGTTGTTGAATGAAGTCAACATATATTCCAAGATCAAAATTACAAATGAAGATCAAATAATGTGCTCTAGGAGAGTGGAAATGCCAACAATACAGGAGACAAGCTCACCACACAAGAAAGAGTGACAAAGGTCATGTGAGTATTATCATTTATCATGGCATCTGCATAATTTATAATAAATTAAAAAAAATTCTTTAGAATCTGTTTTTTGTTTTTTGTTTTTTCTTTCAATTCAGCTCTGATCTGTGTACAAGGGTTAGGGTTACAGAAGCAATTTAGCTTACTAACAAGAAATCTTGAGAAAGATGTAAAAGGCATGTGAACCCAAACTATGCAACCTTCACAGATTTATCATCAATTTGTTTCCAAGAACATGCTTAAGCACTGATAATCCAACTTTCATAGCCTTTCCGGTTATGTTGGAATTCTTCACAGGACATAATCCAACATCTTACAGTGAATAATAATTATTTAGTAATTTCTTAATATCTAAACTATGTAATGTAATAGTAATAATAGTAATATTCTCTTCTCGATGAAGCCCAACCCTACATTTTTTATTCCTCTTCAATTTCACTATGTTATACAAAGAGATTGTTTAGTCAAGTATAGTTAGTATAACAAAAAATTGGTGCCAATTATGTTGGGAAGTGACCTCAACTTTCATTTGCCAAGTAAGAGTTGTTGAATGAAGTCAAGATTCCAAGACCAAAATTACAAACGAAGTTCAAATAATAATGTGCTTTTGGTATTAAATTAGAAACTATTTGTAGTAGTATTAAGAAAGCATGAGGTATAAGCCATTAATACAACCAATTGCATTAACGCAATTTTAATTTCAATTATGACAGAACAATTAGAGTTCATGGTGTAAAGGCAAAATTAAAAATTATTTGTAAAAATACAAGAAAGAAAACATAAGTATAAATCATTGATTCAATCTATTATTCCCATTATAATTTTACGATGGCTTTATTATATTATTAGATTTATATGCTAACTAAATTTCAATATCGCCGGAATTAATGCATAGATGGTATAATTTAAAAAAAAAAAGGTTCAAGATTGAATTTATGTATGCAATAAAGATCATCAACACTTGTCTTAATCTTGCAACAATATCATCATTTGCCTAAAACAGAGCCTAAAAACACTGTAAATGTTCTTCAAAAACTCTGTAAAACCACAAAGCGACATTGCCAAAAACACTGTAAATTGCACATTGATTTGCCTCAACTTCATATCAATTTCACAATCTTCTTTCTGTTCATACATTAATAACGCTATTCTTCTGATCTTAATGAATATCCATGAAAGCATAGGCAGTAAGAAACTATAGAAGCAAAGAAGGGTATATAAAGGTGAATTAGAAGAGGAAGTTGAAAGCAAACATATTCCGCGAAATAACATTAATAAGAATGAAACTGGAAAGTCCATAAATTTGGGGAGTGAAACAAATACAAATTCAAACATTAATGTTAGTTAAAATACATACATTCTAAAAACCAATGAGCAACATTGCTAAAAACACTGTATAAGTGCACATTCATGATCAAATACACACATTCCAAAATCCACTCAGCAACAGTTTCTTGTGCATGCCTTTGGAACCTCGAGCTATTTTATTTAAAATTTGATGAATTTAATTGGAATCTCATAGTCGGGCCATGATTGGCTGAGGCCGAGTGCTAGGCTCGGCCCTAGGGCCGGTTGGGTTCACCTTTTTCTGCTTCATCGGGTCTGTTTGTTCTGGACCCGTCTGCCATATATCCATCAAAATTCATTTTTGATTTTCTAGTTTTAGTTTGAATACTTCGAAAGATGCCCATCCCAAATAATCCAAGACACATGGTTGCCAATGTGCCACGAAGAACCTGCCATACCAATCTACTATTTTTCTTCCCATTATCAACTGTGGAAGATACAGATACTTCCCAATTCCCCTGGGATTCTAATGGTTCTATGACTTTAATAGACCCATCTGTCAATCCAACTGCAAATTGGTTGGGTTCCTGCGGATGTGCTGCAATCACAAGTGGATACACAACCTCGCTTCTACAATAACAATATAACATAGACAAGTTAATACACAAATTAACATTTCATTAAGGAAAAAATAGTATTCTTAAACAAAAGTTGTGGCACAAAGTATTTGCAGCCTTGAATTCCGGACCTGAGAAGGTGTTCTTACCTGTTCTGAGGTAAATAAGCAGATGGAACAATACGACATTTCAGTCTTAGGGTATCGGCATCAAGCACTCCAATGTTCCCATTAATAAAGGATGCATAAATTAGTTGGCTGTTACAGGAGTATGTAGCAGAAGAGATCCGCGTAGAAAGGGAAACATGTGGGATGCACTGTAACAAGCATACTCCAAATTTAAACCCCATAGTCTTCATGAGCATATTTCAAGATTTGAGAAAACATGTTTGTTTTACCTGGTGTATGAGTTCCATCTTGGATACATCATATATTGCCAATTGCTTTTCATGTGTAACTAGTAAGTGGTTTTCCTCAGCATGGAACATCACTTGTGTGTCACATCTTGAAGACACTTCACCATCAGGCAACTGAATGCGAATTGATCTTCTCATTTTCCACAAACTAGTGGTCCACACACAAAGCTGAAAAAAAAAGGTTGTAATCTACTAATATTTTGTTAAAATAAATTTTGGTATACACAGAGTAGAAAGCACAAATCTTTGGTCAGTTTGGAACCTTCTTGACAGAATACATAAATTTACAATAAAAGAACTTGTTGCTATTCCCTATTAGCTAGTCATGGTATGTTCCACTGTACTGTGCTGTTAATTGAAGGGATCACGCCATAGTTATTTATATATCATTCTTTTTCTAATTGACCTATATATATATATATGCTTACCTGGGCATCAGCATCTGCAGAAACCAACATTTTAAGTTTGGTAGAGAATGCTAGACCAGTGATCGGTTTCCGATGCTCTCTAAGTTCGATCAAGTCCTATATATGAAATTATTTAAATCAATACATGTTAAATTATCATACACATAATGCAATAAGATATGATACGTCACAGAAGACTTACCTCATTTACCCAATCATATATATATATGGATGATTCCTCCGTACCAATTGCAATAATATTGTTGTCATGAGGATCAAAAGCTAAGAAAGTTGATGCAGATGGCAACGACGTGATTGTTTTCATTACCTACATCACATATACATTATAGAAATCACGCACGTATAAAGCTAAATGTGATAATTAAGAGTTAAGCTTGTTCGCTAGCCATATATTACCTCACTTGTCATGATGTTAAACAATGAAACATTTCCACCAGCAGCCGACACAACAAAAGAGTCATCATTCGAGAGGGCTATGCAAGGAACTACTTCCTCTAGGTTGACACCTGACACATCATTAATCATAGGAGGACCACTGTTTGGTTGCCAATTCTGTGGAACAAGATTGACAGTGGCCTTTAGAAACCACAGACTTTAGAGACTCATTTGCCAAACATTAATGCGAGACATTAACATAAATAGTATAGCAAAAACAAAAAAAAAATACTCTTAATCTATTCACTACCTTTCTGCTTGGATTTTGTTCATTGTAGGACCATTTCCATAGTTTTTGAATACCATCTGAGCTGAGTCTCAAGATGCCAACACCAGAATTTGTATAAAGAAGTCGGGAAACCTTAACAAAATTCATTTGAACATCAAGTGTTGAAATTCAGGGAGAATTAATTACCTTATACATACACCTTATTTATTAGTTAAAGCACCATTGTCTATCTGTAAGAGAGATGAACAACAAGAAAATGATAAAGAGAAAAATAGTTCAAAAACCTTAGCGTTAGAGCACTCTGGCATGGAAACCATTTGATATTGAACTTGATCTACAATTTTTGTCAATTCCCACAGTTTGGTTCTATCTGGACCTAGCAATTGTCACCAAAATCGATCAACAAGACATGAAATTGCACACAAAAATAAGGAGTTAATCTTTAAAATGGCTCAATATATTTGCATGAACCCATAATATTTAATATTATTTAAAAAATATATTATTTACTCTAGTTAAGATTTATGAATGAATGGTATATGTTGATCGAATTACGGATGCATTCGTTACGCACATATATAAATAACAACATTTTTGCCATCGAAACCTCTTTAGCACTGTGTTAGCCATTACAGCACTATGTTCTAGCATTAATTGTGAATGCATTCAACTTATTTTATTTTACAGATTGATATTTACACCCTCCTATTCAAAAATGTATGCATGAGACCGATAATTAGACTTTTCTCAAACTATTTATAATTTAATTTAGCTTCAGTGAGCAAAAATTACATACTTCAAATTTGCATTAAAATCTAATTAATTATACTAAAAGAAAATTGAATTTAAATATTATAAAAAATGTTGAAAAAAATAAGTGAAAAGAGATTTATTTTGACCAATAAATAAATATAAGTTATACAAAATTCAGTAAATGAAGTATCATTTCAACAATATATCTTATTAATATAAAAATATATGACTGTGTGTATAAACCCAGTAGTTGAACCATTGATCTATTGAAGCTCATTGAACAATCAATGCCTATGTGTGTATATAATATAATAGTGTAATAGCATTTAGTATTTAATTTTTTTCTATATATATTAAACCTAACGCTTTTTAAAATCTTTTTCTTATTAATTGGATAAATATTCTTATAAAATGCTAAAGAGTATGAAGTATCCATAACGTTGTATAGAACTTTAGGATAGTATATGAAGGGGTATATATTCTAATTGTTATTTAGAAAAATATATTTACCTAGTTGTTGTTGTGATGCTGTAGTTTCATAATCTTCTTCATTATCAGTGTCATAATTGTGGTCACTTTGTATTTCTTCCCCAATAATTGGATTAGGCTGAGTGGAAGCAGGTTGATCTTCAGATAATGCAGCATGTATATCACTATTCTTTGCCATTGAAGCCTCTTCATCATCAATAAGTTCTGCCATTCATCATTATGCATAATTAATTACTCCGTATATAATTATATAATTTTATTTTATAAACTAATATTTATTAACATAAAAATATAGAATTGTGTCTGCATGTGTACAAATTGATAATTACACACTCCTTTCCAAAATAGTATGACATTAAAAAAAACAATCAATACTTTTAAAAAGAAATCAATTATTGTAGCCACAACGAACAAAGAGTTCACCCAAGATCAAAAGAAATAAACTTCATTGTAAAAATTTGAACTCAATAAACTAGCATGATCATGAGAGACCAAATCATTTGCCTAACAATGTTGCATCTATAACACTTTTCTCTGCCATATAATTGGAAACTCATCGTCATCCATATGTGTCTATCTTAATTTATTTGTGTGTATGTAAATGATTATAGAGTTAACTATCGAAATGATCCTTTGTCTATAACGAAATTATCAATTTTGTCCAACTTGTCGGTAAAATCTTTTGCTACTCGATTACCGAGTGCCACGTAGAATTTTTTTTCAAATATTAAAATTTAAAATATATTTTAAAATTTTTAAATAAATTAAAATTACTTAAAAAAAAAAAAAACAAAAAAAAAAAAAACAAAACAAAACAAAAACACCCCCACGCACCCCCATGTATATTTTTATAGTACAAATGTATGCATATAATAGAATAGTGTAATATCAATATATCATTTAGTCTTTTTATTTATTTTTTAAATGCTATTATGTAATAATTATTATTTACATCATTTAGTCTTTTTATTTTTTAAAAAATATAATGCTATTATGTAATAATTATTATTTATACTTACATTTTGTTGTATGGGATATGTGTTTGTATAAAATATTAAAGAGTATATATTCCTAATAACATAGTATGGAATAAAGTACCTGTATTATTATTTTTTGCCACCATTGCATCATCTCCACCACTATCTTCTGTATGTTGTGATCCGCCACCTTCCTCTACCTCTTCAACATCATCAAGATTAAATATAACTTTTAGAGGCTATGCTAATTATTTAGTAAAATGTTTAACATGTTTCCATTATTATTTTTCTTTTGGATATTACTTTTTGAATTGAAAAGTAGTAGTTAACTAGAAGAAAAATGATATGACTTTATTAAGTATTAAAAACACCGTTTCAAAATCATAACAATTGTGTACTCTATTATTGTTCTTTGAGAATCACGATTTACTTATTTTCTTGTTATAAGAAAGTTAAATTAAAATTCAAGAAATCAAGGAAAAATAAAAAACAATTGACAATGGCCCTGTTTGGTAAAATGACTGTTAGCTGTTAGCTGATTGTGTTAATTAGAGGATATAAATAGTTGATAACATTAGCTAATTGTAGAAAAGTGTTTGGTAAATTAGCTGATAGCTGATAGTTGTTTGGTATAATTTCTTTTCTCAAAAAGCTAACTGAAAAAGTTGCTTGGAGTAGCTTTTTGAATTTTAGCATTTTAGAGTTGCAAAAAGCTTATTAACCAAACATTTATATTGATATTTTAACTAAATCAAACAATTAATAGTGGTCAAATAAATCAAAATTAGCCTATAGGCCAAGTTTTTACCAAACAGGGCCAATGTTAGATATAGTTAAACTTGTTATTAATTAGTATTCTCAAAGTCAAGTTTGTTAGATATTTTTGGTTTTGCTGTATGGATAGGTGTTCATACAAAATATTAAGGAATATAAAAATATAGAGTTGATTCCATTTTTAATTTTGTTCTAGTCTAGTCTATATTTATACGTATCAACCTACTTTTAGTTTTTAATTTTTTTTCAAAAATTCCCCTTTGGTCCTAGCATTATTGTGACATAATTATTTTTAGTCATTTCTCAACAAAATCGTTTAAATACAATGACACTTTGGTCTATTCAAATCTAAGTGTTGAGTCCTTTTCTTTTTTTGGTCTTAGATTTATATGTGTCATTCTACTTGTAGTTTTTTTTTTTTTAAACATTTTCGTTTGTTGGTGATAGCATTATTGCGGTATGACCGTTTTTTGTCATTAGTCAAACTACAAGTCTTGTGAATTTTTATGAACTTATGCACTAGACTTAGGTTATGCCACAATAATGTTAGGACCAATAGTGATGTTTTGAAAAAAAAAAAAAAGACTAAAAATAAAATGACACATATCAATTTATGACCAAAAAAAGCAAAAGGACTTCACACTTACAACTTAATAGACCAAAATGATTTTGTATTTAATGCCACTTAAACGTGTTTATTGGCATATAAGTCAAAGTGAATTTTTTGAAAAAAAAAAAAAAAGAACTCAAAGTTAACTGACACATATAAATCTAGGATTAAAAAAAAAATGAAATTAACTCTAAAAATATATGTGATATAATTTAAAATAATATGTATGATAGTATAAAGTATGGATAAAGTATACGAGTACCTGGATCTCTTTCACCAGAACCGGCCTCCCTGTAGAAAAGCACAAGTACAATGTATAAACATCTTTTTATTTTTAGTAATTAAAAGAACAACAAAAGTTTGTACATTTCTTGAGACATATATAATTCCTTAGCCTAAATAAAATATAAAACTGAAAGAAATTAAAGAACACTGCATAAAAACTAATGAACATAAAAGAGTATTTGTGGCATTAAAAACTTAAAAGAAAATCAGAATTTTAAGGAATAAATGATAATTTTCAAGCTCAATAAGTTTGTTTTTTTTTTTTTTGGTATATAAGAATTCGTAAATCCAATCTGTTGAAGATTTTAAATCTTAAATAAATAATTTAAATAAGCATGCTTGATATGAATTCATTGACCTAAATAAAAGCGAAAACTAAAACAAATTGGAAAGTTAACTATTACTAAAGTATCATATTATGTAGTATGGAGTATTAAAAAGTTGAAGAAAGATGGTAAATGGAGGGGAACCGAAATCAATATGTTTACCTTTTATATAACAAAGTACAACCCCAATCAGCAGTGGCTTCCAATTTCATAAAGTTCACCTCAAATCTTGAAAAATCATTTGAGCTTACACTATTTATATGAGTATTAGAATCTGCAGGCCACAAACTACTAAATGGTATGTAGACAAAGCAGATGTGTCCTCCGTTGTTATCATATCCATTAGTTGAACTGGCAATCACACATTTTCTTTTGAGAAATTTATTTTTGTGTGACAATTTGGCTATGACTGTGCAATGCTCAACACCATCAATGCCCCGGTAGAAGTGTGGTTCCCATGTATTATATCCTGAAGAGAGGAAATATACAGCAAATCCCGCAAAGCTTTGACAATACGAGAGGAAATTGAGATCAATAGAGATACCATTTGACTGATAGCATCGATATTGAAATAATCTCAAGACATTGGCCTCGATGTAACGATCCTCACCCTCTTGTAAATAGATTGGATAGCTAACACTGAATGGAGTCTTTGTATGAAACGGAATATGAATAAATATTTTAGCTAAACAATGTTCCGGGCAGTGATATTGATCATCATAAGAGAATGCAACTGAATGTAATTCCGGGCACTCTGCTAACTCCTTTATGCTTTTTCTAGAGGCAAAATGAAAATCTGCATACAGTTCTCTTGTACTTTGTGGGAGTTTTGGGAGCTCTTTAAGTTTTCCACAATCTCTGATGTCAAGATACTGAAGGCGAGGGAGTTGGCTGAAGCTTTCGGGTAAATCAACAAAGTCGCTCCCCCGTAGATTCAAGTATTCTAACGAGATCAAGCATCCAAGATATGAAGGGAGTCCTTCATCGGGGATTTTAAAATCAGAAAGTTGTAGCCTTTTTAGTGAGCGCAAACCTGATTCACTGCTAATAAGCACAAATTTGAGAGTTGTCTCTTTCATGAACTTCCGGTTACCTCCCCAACACAAGCATTCAAGTGACCTCAACTGCGTTATTGAAGATGGGAGTTGAAAAATGGCAGTGTGAATTACATGAAGCTCTTTCAACTTTGACAAGTTGCCCAGGTTTTTTGGCAATGACACTAGTCGGTCACAACATGTAAGCCCAAGAAATTTAAGAAGTTTCAACTCACACAAGGCATTAGAAAGATGGACAAGATTTCCACAGTTAATGAAGCATAACTTGGTGAGTCCACGTAATTTTTGGATCGATGAGGGGAGTTCTTTAATCCAAATGGACTGTAAATTCAGCTCCCATACATATTCCATAGTTGTCTGGATTTCTGGAAAATTTTGCAATGCTCCACAATATTCAAGTCTGAGACACTGAAGAGATAAAACACGAACAAAGCAGGGAAGCTTCTCTAGCTCACGGCAATTGCTTAAATCCAATATATAAAGCTTCTGAAGATGTCCAATAGATGGGTGAATCTCTTTTAATTTCTCACAACCAGAAAGGTATAATTCGTTCAAATTCAGTAGCATATCAAAATTTGGAGTTTCTAGCAAAGAGCAAGAAGAGCTAAGATTCAAATAGGTAAGTTCGTTAAATTCCTGCCAGAGAAGATGGAGAATAAAATAAGTATAAGCTATTTGATTAAGAAAAAGAATTGATGAACACGGGTTAGAATCATCTACCATACCTTAGTTATCCTACAATTTTCAAGAGAACTAGAGTGCAGATAAACCCCAACAAGCTGAGAGGGATTATTATCCATGCCAGAGGAATGAAAGCTTTTCGGTAATGAAGGGAAAGGATAATCTGGGAAATGAAGCCACCTCAAGCTACTTGGAAGATAATCATCCATGACATTGTCAAAATTATTATCTTCTTCCTTGGATGACCGTTTACCTATGAGTATCTTCAAAGATTTAAAGGCACCCCAAATATTCTCATCATTGTCCAGCTGACATATGTATGTATAGGGGAATACCATACATTCTATGTGTTCAGGGTCCTGAAAGAATTGAAGAAATAAAATAGTACAGACTTCAATCTTTCTAATGCAATATCAAAAACAAACCTTCAAGCTAAGTTAGCTTATTAGTTACTAGTTAGCTAGGAAGGAATATAATTAGACCGCGTAATATAATCTAGGAAATAATTAATTAAGAAACCACACTATGTATATCATTATTTTAATTAACTAATTTTGCTACATCTTACTATTGAAATAAATATATATGCCTTACCATTTTTCCGTATAATAATAATACAGCATCCTCAAACTCCCATACCCTGCTCCTAGGTTTCTCCTCTCTTGCAATATGCCAACCCATATCTTGGATTAGATCGTGCATCTCAATTCTTCTTCCTTCCACGACTGATATCAGAGATCTTTCAATGAGCACATGCATACCAAAGGCTGGATTCAAATCACAACTTTTAAGCACATCTATTACATCTTTTTCCATCTCGTGTCTGAAAAAACATGCAATATGTAAAAAGATTTTTTGGAGTTTACAATTTAGTTCATCAAAACTTGTCCTAAGCACTTGAACAATATTATCTATTGGGGTGTGAAGGGTGTGAGTGTCATTGAATTTCTCCAATATGCTTTTCCAGTAAATAGCCTCTTGTCCACAAAGATAAGACCCCAACAATTTAAGGGCGAGTGGAAGACCCTTACAATGATGCACAATTGATCCACACAGTTGTTCGATTTCAGTTGTAGAAATTTTCTTTTTAAAGGCATACCAACTAAACAATTGAATAGCTTCCTGCTCTTCCAATGTATCTACTTTGTATATATACTTTACATCAACTTTATGGGAACGCAATACTCTAGCATCTCTTGTGGTTATAATCACTCTACTACCCCTACCAAACCAATCTCGACTTCCAGCTAATTTCTCTAATTGTTCCACCCGGCTTACGTCATCAAGAACAATCAAAACCTTTTTCTGTCTAAGCCGTCTCCTTATCATTGCCATTCCAGAAAACTCATCTCCTATTCCTATCTTCACCTCTAGTATTGCTACTAGAAGGACCTTTTGCAATTCAATGATTTTATGTCGGCTAATGTTGGGAAGAAAATAAGCTCTATCAAATTGGAGTGAAAATTTATTAAAGACCGCCATTGCAGTTGTTGTCTTACCGATACCTCCCATACCACAAATACCAATAAACCTAGCATCATCATCATCATCATCATCAGCCGATCTCAACCAGTTACCAATGTCGTTAACTCTAGATTTCAACCCTTCTAAGTTGTTTTCAAAGGCTGACCATGTCTGATTTGATTGATTCAATCGAGCAAATATGTCGGCAGCAACTCCTTGTACACATTTTATATCAAGTCTGAAAAGATTGAACATCAATAGTTTTTAAATTGTAGTACTCCAACTTCATACCAATATATGACATCGATCAATATAAAATTTCCATACTTCATAAAAAAAAAGTTGCACTTGTTTTATTAATGAATTTCTATGGACGTTATTCTAACAAAATTGTTCTACACTATTCACTTGTAACATTATGTTAACTAATTAAGTGAAAAGCAACTTGAATGAGATTGTTCCCATCTTCCGTCCTCCCCAACTTTTTTTTTTTCCTTTTAAATATTATATAGTGTTACACTGTTACATCATTAATTGTATTGAGAGAATGAGGACTTTTTCTCTTTCTTAATACTAGGTAGTAACCACTTACCACTGTGTGCATATAAATTAAAAATAAAATAAAATAAAGATGAATCATATGAGAAGAGGAAGTTGAAAGCAAACCGATTATAGTCTTTCTGCAAATGATGCCCTTTGAGATAGCCTGCTTTTTTCAACACTTCCTTCCATCTTCTTACCTTCTCCTTCTCCTCATCCTTCGCAAATTCAACCAATTCCTTGAACGAATCTCCAAAACTTCCTTCCTGTTTCCAGACATCTGAAGGCTCCACGTCGTAAAAAATTGGCACCACAATTTGTTCTTTGAACTTTTCTTGGAATTCCATGATTGTTGCAAGTTCTTCCAAACACCATTTTGATGATGCATAGCATTTGGAGAAGACTGTGATAAAAAATCTTGAATCTTTAATAGCTTTTTGTCGAGCCAGAGAGACACAGTCTCCTTTCTCCATTTGATCGTAATCCTTGAAGGTGTGAATTCCTTTCAAGTCTAAATAAGTGTAAAGATAATCTACAAATATCTTGTCAATATCTGAACCTCTAAAATTCAAGAAAACATCGTAAGTCCATTCATGGATTGATTGTGAAGCAGTAACAGAAGAGGTAGAAGCCATCAAGCCATATGGAAAGAATTTGGGTTCCCCTAAAACATGCAGGGAACTAATTAGAAGGGAACTAATAAATTCAGCACATACAATATGACTTCTTGTGTAATGAAGGAATTTTGCATAACAACACTTCACAGCAGAAACGAAAACAAAGTATTATACATTTACAATTTATTTATTTAACTAGCTCATACTAAAAAAAATAAAGTGAAAAATGACACTTTTTCCTCCTGAATATATGTTTATAGCATATTTTCCCTCTGAATTATTAATGAAAGCATATTAGTCCCCTCAAGTATTCTAAAAATGGCGATTTTTCCCCATTATATATTAAATTGATATTTCTACCCTTAAAGTAAACATTTTATTTATTCTTCATCTCCAACAAATTATTGCTTATACGTAGGGATGACCACGATTCGGTTCGAATTGAATCAGACACTATAGCAATCGAATTGAAAGTTTGCGATTACGATTCAGATCCGGTTTGGATTTCAGTTTATTAAAATTATGAATCAAAAAAATAGATCATGACCCGTGAACCGGCGGTTCCAGATCCGGTTCGGATTTTGAACCGTCTTTATTTTGATTTTTTTTTTTTTTTTAAAAAGTCTAAATTCAACAATAAATGTATTTTTTTCAGTTTGGAACATGAACTGGCCGTTTCGGTTCGCGATTTTAATAAACTCTAAATATCGGGTTTTGATTCTAAATCGTAACTAGAATATTTCAGTTTGGTTGCTATAGTGTCTGTTCGATTTGAACCAAATCGTGGTCATAATTTGTTGGAGAAGAAAAATAAATGAAATATTTATTTTAAGGGTAAATATGTTCATTTAACATTTCAGGATGAAAAATAGCCACTTGAACAATTCAGGAGGAAAAAGTATTAGAAGTATATAACTCAAGGGAAAAAGTGCTATTTTTTCAAAATTAAATAAATAATTCAAGGGGATAAACTGACCCTTCACACGCCCCCCACTAGTGCTCATGGGTGCGATTAACTGACTGTTTGTCTTTAATAACGTAACATTGATGATTGATGTAATGCTAAACCTTTGTGTATATGCATTTAGTGTTAAAAAAAATTGTGATTTATGTAGTATTAAAGGAATTTTTTTTAAATGTTTTCGTGTAATTGTAATTTATAATAAGAACATTTTTATCTTTTTCTTTATGGAAAAGTACATATTCTTATAAAATGATAAAGATAAAGTACAAATAAACCACAGAACTATTGATGTTAAATAATTTATTAGTTACCAACTATCATGTAGTGGATGGCATCTCGGTTATCCATTCAAATGGATGGTCATTGGTTCGAACACTTATGGTGGGGGCTTAATCATTGAGAAAGTATAGAATAGATTAAAAATGCATAATTGTGAATAAGTATATAATCAACTAGTAGTTGAACCTTATTGAACAAAGAAATCCAATACTCATGGGTCAACATTATGTATACAGAAAACGGATTTTATGTAGTATTAAAGGATTTTTTTTAAAAATGTTTTCCTGTAAATGTAATTTATAGGATTTTATGCAGTATTAAAGGATTTTTTTTAAAAAAAATGTTTTCGGGTAATTGTAATTTATAATAAGAACATTTTTATCTTTTTCTTTATGGAAAAGTACATATTCACATAAAATGTTAGAGATAAAGTACAAATAAGTCACTGAACTATTTGAAAAATAGCAATTAAGCCACAGAACATAAATAACCCTCAAATAAGCAATTGAACTCAGGAAAAAAAAAAACAATTAACATTTTTAACAAGTTAACTTCAGGTTTTTGCTGACTGAATTGCCAAATGTTTATTTTATTTACGTTTTTAATTATAATCCACCTACATAGTAAACTTAGAGTTAACCTGTTAAAAATGTTAATTGCTCTTTTTTTCTAAGTTCAATGGCTTACTTACTCTTTTTTTCCGAGTTCAATGGCTTATTTGGGAGTTATTTGAATTCGTTGACTTAATTGTTGTTTCCCAAATACTCCGTAGTTCAGTGACTTATTTGTACTTTATCCCAAAATGTTAATATGTAGTATGAATAATATGAATATATGAAGGGGTAATAAAGTAATTGGGAATTTATATTAGAACAATATATTTACCTGGCTCAGGTGTGGACACAGGGGTCTCTTCGAACAGTGGAGCTTCTTCATTACTTTCTTCTGCCATTCATGTGTATATTTAGAGCGCGTTATTTTATTAACTAATATTTATCATTTTAACCTTTTTTATTAACATGAAAATATATAAAATACATAGTTTAGTTAAAAGGAATATTTATATATGCATGCATGAATGTGTGTATGCATGGTTGTATATGTAAGTGTGTGTGTGTATATAATTACATAACATGCATGCATCCAGGGTGAAATATGATGAGTACGTACCTGAATCACCATTATCATGGGACCTAGCTATAGTTTTGCTCCATAATGCTTCACTTAATGATTCATCATTTTTATATAACAAACCACAACTCCAATCTGCTGAAACATTTGATGCAGGATTCCCAAATGCCACCTCAAATACCAAATAATCACTGGGGATAGCTCTCAATTTATTGTTAAACAGACTAAGAAATGGTATGTAGGCAAAGCATATGATTTGTCTATCCATGAATACATCAAAAGCTTCATCGCATTGTCTGCCAATCACACAATTTGTTTGGAGAAGTTGTTCATTATCTTTGTGTACCAACTGGGCTATGACCTCACTGTATCTAAAAGGACGACCGTCTGGGCATGATTTCCATATACCATAACAAGATGAATTGAGAATAAAGCGCACAACAAATCCCACAAAGCTTTGATTATGCCAGGAGGATTTAAGACTAATGGAGATCTTATTTGAACCAAGAGATGAATATTTGAACCGTTTCGTGACATCACTATCGGTTGAATATGCATCACTAGGATAGGTAACAATGAAAGAAGAGTCTCTCATGATTTGAAAAGGCTGATGATGAGCAAACTTCCTAGCTAACTCCACAGCAGAAACCTCTTTATCTCCAGGAGAGAATGAGACAGAATATAATTTTGGGTACTTGGTTGCTAGCTTCACTAAGTTGCTTTCAGAAGCCAAATTAGAATTTGCATATAGTTCTCTTATAGTAGTTGGGAGTTCTGGTAGCTCTTCAAGTTCTTCACGACCACTGATGTCAAGGTATTGAAGACTAGGAAGTTGGCTATAACATGCAGGTAAACTGACAAAATTGTTGCTACCGTGATTCAAGTACTCTATCTCCGACTCCAACAAGGTCAAGCATCCAATATCATTAGTTGTGAGTAGTCCTGGTATCAACGACGTTAAGATAGAGTACTTGATAGATATATATATATATATATATATATAATAGTTTACTCACGCAGTACAAAACAAAATTTACACAGATCAGAGACATGCATATATGTACATATGTATCTATGCGCTTCTGTGTATGTAAATGTATGTACAAAATAGCATAGTGAGTGTAACAATTTAATTTTTCATTAACAAAACTTATATACTTATAAACTATATTAAAATTTATGTCAGATAATACAAAAACGTAAATTTGTACATTAAAAAAGAAATTGCTAAAAATATGAAAAAATAAATAGAGATTTGTTTTTTATTGTTTGTTTGTATTTTTTTTTATTTTTTTATTTTTGGTAACGAGAAAAACCCATCGTCATTACCTAATAGTGTGCACCGGGTAAATCGCGCATTATGACACTAACCGGTAAAGGACCACAAAGAGACAAAATAACTTTGGTTGCTCTTGGTTGGGGTTGTCCAAAATAGAGTTATTTGACCATTAAATAACATGTGTATGTATCAAATGAAACAAATTAAAGTGGGGTTGAGGCAAATTATGCTTTGGAAACGCGCTCACCTTCCACACACCTTCCACAACGGTGTCGTTTTCGTTTTTCAACGAAAACGACGACATTCTAATTTTTTTTAAAAAAAATTGTTTTTCACTTGTGGTTAACAGCGTTTCTCTCTTCGCAATCGCACAGTTTAGAATTTATAAATCAACTGTATTTAAATTATGAATCTACAGTATAGAAATTATGAATCTACCGTATTAGGTTTATGAACATGTAATAAGCTATATGTTCATAATTATAGAGTTATATGTTCATATATCCAATTGTTTAACTTTCTATTCATAAATCACAAAACTATATGTTCATAATTTGATAACTATACAATTTAGAAATTATGAATCTACAGTACATAAATTATGAATTTACAATACAGATATTATGAATCTGCAGTATAAAAATTATGAATCTACTGTATTTAAATTATAAATCTATGGTTTAGAAATTATGAATCTACAGTATAGAAATTAAGAATCTACAACTGTACAGCATAACGCTCCCTGGGTTGAGGGGTAGCATTTATTCTTTTATGTATTACAACATAAAATAATTTCTAAAATAATAGTACATAATTGTTATGTTCATTGTAAGGACTTTTTTTTCTTTTAATTTGTTAAATACTTCATAGGTGTTGATATAAAATGTTTAAGAGTATGAATATTCTTAATATATAAGGAGTATAACACAAAATAAAATAATATATAATAGTATAAAAGGGGTAATGTATGAGTACCTGAATCACTCCTATGGCAATTAGCCATATGCTCCCTTGCTCCTATTGGGCTGAAAGCACATTTTTTAATTCAGCAAATTTAAAAGTAAAAATTATATAATTATGCTTGTTATAGATTCAGTCCTAGCCTAAATAAAACAGAAAACTAAAACAATCTGTAAAAAAAAAAAAAAAGTTATCTAGTCCGGAGTAATAAAGTATACCTACTACAGAGCATTAAAAAGTTTTTTTTTTTTTTTTTTTTTTGGAAAAACAGAGCATTAAAAAGTTGAAAAGGAAGGTAAATAATATGGGGAAGAAAAAGGAAAAATTGAAATATATATATATATATACCATTTATACAATAAATTAATGCCCCAATCTGCTGAAGCTTTCAAATCCACAAGTTCCACCTCGAATCTTGAATAATCATTTGCTCCCATCATAGGTTTAGATTCAGGCCACAAACTACTAAATGGTAGGTAGACAAAGCAATTGTATATTCCGTAGTTAAGACCATCGTAAAAAGTTGATTCAACTATCACACATTTTGTTTGGAGATCTTCATTTTTAATATCATTATGTGATGATAGTTTGGCATTAATCACACAATGATGATGAGAAGGGTCACCAAAGCCTTGGTACGAGTGTTGTCCCCATTTATCAGCTGGAGAAGAGACAAAAAATACAGCAATTCCCACAAATTGTGTGCTATACCAACGATGATTGAGATTGAAGGAGATCCTATTTGACCCGTATCTTCGGTATTTGAATGACCTCAAGAGAGTGTAATACTCCTCCTTAATCCGATAATATGATGAATCGGTTGAGTAGCTAACACTAAAAGGAGTCTTTCTGTGAAATGGAAATTGAATGCTCTTCTTAGCTAAAAAGGTTTCACCTTTGAACGAATTAAGATAAGGATAGCAGGAGGAGACTGCGATTGAATATAACATGGGGTTCTTGATTGCTAACATATCTATGTTGATTGACTCTTTTCCAAAGGCAAAATGGGAATCCACAAATAGTTCGCCTATAGCTTTTGAGAGTTCTGGCAACTTTAAAAGTTTTTTACAACCTCTAATGTTAAGGTATTTAAGGTGAGGAAGTTGACCGAAACTTTCAGGTAAATAACTAAAATTGCTTCCTTGAAGATTCAAATATTCCAATGAGATCAAGCATTGTCCAAGATCTGAAGGGAGTCCTTTGTCGATGCTCTTAAAATCACAGAGCTGTAGCCTTTTCAATGAGCACAAACCTGATACACTAGGCACAAATTTGAGAGGCCTTTCACCAAACCAACGTTTGTGTCCCCAACACAAGCATTCAAGTGAGCTCAACTGCGTTATTGAACATGGGAGTTGAAAAATGGCAGTATCATATATATGAAGCTCTTCCAATTTTGACAAGTTGCCCAGGTTTTCTGGCAATGACTCTAGTTGGTCACAATCTCTAAGCACAAGAATTTTAAGGCTTTCCAACTCACATAAGTCATCAGAAAGAGATACAAGATCTTTACACGAAAACAAGCATAACTTGGTGAGCCCACATAGTTGCCGGATGGATGAGGGGAGTTGGGTAATGAGAATGGATCCTAAATTCAACTCCACTAAAAGTGGAATACTTTTCTGGATTTCTGGAAAATTTTCTAATGGGCAACCATGAAGTTGGAGAAATTCAAGAGATGAGAGTTGAATAAAGGTGGGAAGCTTCTTTAGGTTACCGCAAGAACATAAATCCAATAAAATAAGCTTCTCAAGACCTCCAACAGAGGGATGAATCTCTATTAATTTCTCACAATGTGAAAGGTATAACTTTTCCAAATTCGGCATCATATCAAAATTTGGAGTCTCTAGCAAAAAAGGGGAAAAGCTAAGATTCAAATAGGTAAGCTTCTCAAGACGTCCGAAAGAGGGATGAATCTCTATTAATTTCTCACAATGTGAAAGGTATAACTTTTCCAAATTCGGCATCATATCAAAATTTGGAGTCTCTAGCAAAGAACCAGAATAGCTAAGATCCAAAGAGGTAAGTTTATTTAATTCCTGCATGCATGCGTGCAAGAGTAGATAATGGAGATCAAATAAAATAATTAGTTTAAGCTATTTAATTAATTAATGTAGAAAAATAATTTAACATAGTAGTGAGTGAGCAGGTTAGAATCATATACGTACCTTAGTTATCCAACAATTTTCAAGAGAACTACCTCGCAGACAAATCGAAACAAGCTCCAATGGATTGGTATCCATGGTAGAGGGATGAAAACTTGTGGGTAATGAACGGAAAGGATAATCTGGGAAATGAATCCACCTCAAGCTGCTAGGAAGCTCATAATTATCCTTGACATCACCGTCAAAATTAGTATCCTTCCACGACCGTTTTTTAACTATGAGTATCTTCAAAGCTTCAAAGGCACTGCTAATATTCTCATAATTGTGCAGCCACAATCCATATGTATTATAGGGGAGTGAAATACATTCTATGTGTTTAGTAACTGTAAGCTCCTGAAAGAATAAAACAAAAGAAACCTTCAAGCTAAGTTAGCTAGCTAGGAAGTTAGGAAAAATTATATATATGTCTTACCATTTTTCTGTATAATACAGCATCCTCAAACTCCCATACCCTGCTCCTAGGTTTCTCCACTCTTGCAATATGCCAACCCATATCTTGGATTAGATCATGCATCTCAATTCTTCCTTCCACGACTGATATGAGAGATTTTTCAATGAGCACACGCATAGCAACGTCTGGATACAAATCACAACTTTTAAGCACATCTTTTACATATTCTTCCTTCTTGTGTCTGAAAAAACATGCAATATGTAAAAATGTTTTTTGGTTTGTGAGAGTTAGTCTATCAAAACTTATCTTAAGCTTCTCAAGAATATTATCATTTGGGGTCTTCTTGAGTTGCTCTAAAGTGCTTTCCCACTCATCAGCCTCTAGTCCACAAAGATAAGAGCCCAAAACTCTGAGAGCTAATGGAAGACCCATAGCATAACGCACTATTAATCCACAGAGTTCTTTGACACCAGGTGCAGCTTCCTTTTTAAATGCAAACGAACTGAACAGTTGAATAGCTTCCTCATTTCCCAATGTTTCTACTTCATATATATGCTTCTCATCAACTCCATGGGAACGCAATACCCCTGCATCTCTTGTAGTTATAATCACTCTACTACCCCTACCAAACCAATTACAATATCCGGCTAAATTCTGTAATTGTTCCACATGGTCTACGTCATCAAGAACAATCAAAACCTTTTTCCTTCCAAGCCATCTCTGTATCTTCTCCATTCCATCAAACTCATTGCTTATTTCCATTTCCATCTTCTCCTTTTGTATTGTTTCTAAAAGGGTCTTTTGCAATTCAATGATTTTATGTTGTCTAATATCGGCAAGAAAACAAGCTCCATCAAATTGACTTGAAAATTTCTTAAAGACCGCCCTTGCAGTTGTTGTCTTGCCAATGCCTCCCATACCCCAAATCCCAATGAATTGAACATCATCAGGTTCCAGTGTCAACAAGTTACCCACATAGCCAACCCTAGTTTCCAATCCCACTACAGTTGAGGAAGCTTGAGTGGAGCGATTCACTCGAGTAAATATATTGTGAGTAATTTTTTCGACACATTTTCCTTCAAACCTGACAATATTGAACACAAATTAAATAATTGAAACATGCAATTGAATACTCAGCTAGCCTTAATAGAATTCAAGCAATGCTACTCAGATTATGGGACAGATCCCTTTATATTCACCAAACCCATGAGACATCAATGTTAAATTTCCATACTTCATCAAAGAAGTTGTAGGTAGGTGTTCTTCAATTCTCAATGAATGGGGTAAAATGCATTTTTAATTTCTCAATTATTACTTTTTATAAAATTTGGTCCGTATCTTTAAATCTGAACACTATTGATCCCCAATTGTTTAGAAAATATATTGACCCTGTTTGGTAAAATAGCTGTTAGCTGATAGTTGTTAGCTATTAGCTGATTGTGTTAATTAGAGGGTATAAATAGTCGATAACATTAGCTGATTGTAAAAAAATGTTTGGTAAATTAGCTGTTAGCTGATAGCTGATAGCTGTTTGGTATAATTTCTTTTCTTAAAAAGTCAATTGAAAAAGTTGCTTGGAGTAACTTTTTGAATTTTAGCCTTTTGGGATTGCAAAAAGCTAATTAACTAAACATTTATATTGATATTTTAACTAAATTAAACAATTAATAGTGGTCAAATAAGCCAAAATTGACCTATAGGCCAATTTTTTACCAAACAGGGCCATTGTTAATTTAGTCTCTCTCACATGATACTCTCAAATGCAATCTGTTAGTATACATGTGTCCAAATTTGTTTTTAATTATAAACTTGGCTACTAACCTTCTTTATTTTTTTTTAAACTCATAATTTTGTACAAACTAGTATATGTTTTATATTTTCTCAATCTTTTTCAACCCAAAAAATCAATGCTCTGACCACACATTTGGAGTAGTAAATTAGTAATAAAAGTGTCATCATACTATACATAACTACTAACCAAGTTTTAAAAGACTATTTGGTGCCTCTCATGAGAGATAGAATTCATAACACTTTTAACAAAAGTAAACTAACGTAATCACCTAGTAATATTCAGCTCTACTGTATGTACTCCATAATCTTCTTCCAAAAGGCTGAACCCCAACCCTAAGGGCCCCCCACACCCCGACAGAGCATTTGGGAGGATGTAAATCATGGTAACTCAACTGAACATGAACCAAAGAGGCTAGACCGGTGCTCACTGCGCACAAGAAACCCCCTCACTGCTGCTGGTGAGACTCGATCCCTGGTCATTCTTTCAAAGTTTCACCTCTATGAATGTACTCCATTATCTTACTCCTTGATCTGGCGGGATTTACGTGGATCCCAATACAAGTGAATACATCAAGGGTTTTTTGTGTGGGAGTACACATAGCATTTTCCAATTCAAATATATTTATAATTAAATTATTATTATGATAGAAGTTAGAACATTATATTATTATAGGAAAATGGGCAAATAGGTTTCAGAACTTCAATTAGATACATAAACTTTTTAAGAACGTAATTAAACACATCACATCAGGATTACCGAAAGAGTAACCAGCTAAGGGGGTGGGATACACTAAAATCGTGAATTGATGTGTTTAATTGCACATTTTGATAATGATATGAACTTATTAAAGTCTGTAAATTGTAATAGGAATGACAAAATAATTTTTTTACTAGTTGTTTCTTAAAAACTAGATAGTAACACTACTGGCATTAAATAAATAAATAAAACTTTAATACCAGTAGTAAAAAAACTAAAGCAAATTAAACGACATGTGTAAAAAAAAATGAAGGAACAGAGGAAGAAGAAGTTGAATGTACCCATTGAAGTCATTCTGCAGATGATACCCTGAGATTTGGGCAGCCTTTTCCAACGCTTCCTTCCATCTTTCCACCTTCGCCTTCTCCGTGTTCTCTTCTTCATGTCTCTTAAATGATTCACCAAAACTTTGTGTTTGATTGCGCACAACTGAAGGCTCCACATCATAGAAAATGGGTATCACAATTTCCTCGGCGTAGTGTTGTTGGCATTCCATGATTGTTGCAATTTCTTCCAAACACCATTTCGCTGATGCATAGTCTTTGGAGAACACAACAACTGCAAATTCTGATTCTTTAATAATTTGTAGCAACTTCTCAATACGCTGTCCTTTCTCCAATCCCTCATCATCTTTGAAAGTGCGAATTCCTTTCTTTTGTAGTTCTTTATAAAGGTGATCAACGAAATTCTTTCGAGTATCTGTACCTCTAAAACTCAAGAAAACATCATACTCTTTTTTGCGGACAGATTGAAAAGGAGTAGAAGAGGTAGAAGCCATCAAGCCATAGATTTATTTGATACTCAGAAACATAGATCCGAGGGAAGTATACTTAAGGTAGCAAATCGGAGTTAAGAAGATTTCTTGAATTGCTTAAGTCGTCTCAGCAGTCAACTCCCAAGATTTCTTGGAATTGAGTCACAAAAGTTGAAGACAACTGGTGCATTGAAGAAAACAGAAGGACTACTGTTGGGTCTTAATCATTACTGTTCAACTTGCAACATTCAAATTATTTAGGAACAATTTTTGTTTATTATTTATATTTGAGAAATTAAAATTACTCCGTACATTTTTAATTCATAAACTATAACACAAATACAAATGGATTGTAAAATTAACTTTTAATTACTCACAAAAATAATTATTTTTATTAAATATTTTAAGAATTATAAGTGCAAATAAAAATATTTGATTTTGAAAACACTTAATATATAGTAAATTCACATATAACTCACAGTGTATCTAGATATATAATATTGTATTCGCTTCTGTGCACTTTTAGTTATCAACGGATACACTAATAAGTGTATTCAAATGTATTAGCACAATTATGAGAATGCGATTGCATTTCTTCTTTTTTGATATGGTTGGAATTTGTGTTACTCATAAACATACAACAGATAACTAATTAGAACGAATGTTTAAAATATCATATATATATATAAGCTACCGGAGTTGAGTATTGTAGTCAAAGCGTTTCTTTATTTAAGACATTTAGACTACCCCTAAAGATAAAAAGAAAATAATACTTATAATTTTAATTCTATTTCTACTTTTTAATTTTTATATTAATACTCTTGATGTAAATATTTTTGATAAGACCTACACAATAAAAATATCTCTTCATAACTTGTCATATAAAAGAGTAGAGAGTTCTTTTACATGAATTCTTAATCTCTATTCCTTCACTTTGACTTTCTAATGTTTTTACAATATGATACGTTATCTTTTTCCTATAAATTTTAATAAAAATGAAAAATATCAACATTTAAATTTGAAAAGATAAGTAGGGGACAACATTTTAGAATTTAAATGCTCCGTAGTAATTTTTTTTTTTTTTAGATTAAAATGATGTAATAAAAATTGAGAGTAAGAAGGGACCTATGGCCTACAGGGCCGGATTTTGGGATGTGCAAGCTCAACAACACAGAGCTTCAAATTTTAGAGGGCTCAATATTCAATTTTTACCTAACTAGTTTAGAAATAAAAAAGGAATAAGGGTTAAATTAACCATCGAACGTAACGTGAAAATACAATTTGGTCACTCAACTAAAAAAAATACAATTAGACCATTCAACATGGTAAAATTATGCAATTTGTCCCAAGTAACCTGCAATGGCAAGTTACCAACAAGTAATTAATTAAAATTTTTAAAATGAAATTAAAAACTATTTTAAGACAAAAAAAAAAAAAAAAAAAAAACAGCAACAGCTCCTGTGATGGCGGGTCGTCGACGGCAGCCTTCTCCGACCTCTCTTCCCCCCGACGTGTACAGATCGACAACATACTTCTGTTCAGTTCAAGTATTAAATATGAGTTTTAGACATCAAGGAAAAGGGTTTACAGAAGCTTTTTTCTAGAAAAGAAACATACCCGGACAAGTCAGGAGATAAAAATACTTGAATTGCCATGCACAATCCTATCAGAAAAACTATGTTAGTTCCCAATGAAATCTTCACTCTCTAAATATGCATGGAAAGCTTTAGAAATACATTGACAAGCCATTGGGCTCCGTATATGAAAAAAGAAGGTCTTGATTCTTAGAAAACATGTATACCCTAGAGAAAGACGAGAGGAGGCTGTTGATGCTGATCGGGGGAAGAGAGGTCGGAGAAGGCCGCCGTCGATGACCTGCCATCACGGGAGCTGCTGGTGGTCTTTTTTTTTTTTTTTTTCTTTTGTTTTAAAATAATTTTTAATTTCTTTTTAACAGTTTTAATTAATTACTTGTTGGTAACTTGCCATTGTAGGTCACTTGGGACAATTTGCATAATTTTACAATATTGAATGATCTAATTGCATTTTTTTTAGTTGAGTGGCTCAATTGCATATTCACGTTACGTTCGATGACTAATTTGATCCTTATTCCAAATTAAAAAAATAAAAAATTACAATTAATTTTAAAAGAGTCCATGTAAAAATGTTAGAAATCTGTGTCTAAAGTACTTCAATTTGAGGTTAGAGGTTCAAATTCTATGTGCCGTTTTGCTTTGCGAGTTCATTTTACCATCTTATTATTATTATTATTATTATTATTAGAAAAATTACAGTATTAATTTAAATATTATGACTTTGGAATGACCTTATTTATTTATAAGAACAAAAATTTAAAAATCGCCACTGACGACTATGAGTCATACCACTGTCCACTACGGCACTACATAAAGTTCATTGAATTTCTATGGTGGGCGCCACCCCAGTTCAATTTTAATGAGTAGAAAGAAGGGAGCTATGCTTTACAAATCAAAAAAGAAAGAAGTGACCTATGAGTCGTCATATCACTGTCCAGTCTACAGGGTGTAGCATGGCAAATTATTGTGTGGAACCCGGTCTACACAATGTTATGTGGACCATAACAAAAAGTACATTTTTTTTGGGAAAATTGTACTTTTTTTCCCTAAGTTATATACTTATAGCACTTTTTCCCCTCAATTATTTAAGTGACTCTTTTTCCCCCTGAAATGTTAAATCGACATATTTACCCTTAAAATAAATATTTCATTTATTTTTATTCTCCAACAAATTATTACTATAATTTGGTTCAAACCAAACAGATACTATAGTAACCAAACCAAAATATTCCAATTACAATTTATAATCAAAACGCGATATTTAGAGTTTATTAAAATCGCGAACCGGAATGACCGGTTCATGTTCCGAACTGAAAAAATAAAATACATTTATTGTTGAATTTAGACTATTTTAAAATAAAAAATAAAATTTTAAAATAAAGACGGTTCAAAATCGCGAACTGGATCCGGAACCGCCAGTTCACGGTTCATGATCCAGTTTTTTTTTTATTATTCTTAAATTTAATAAATTGAAATCCAAATATTGGGTTCTAGATCTGGATCATAACTGAAAACTTTTAATTCGATTGCTATAGTGTCTGGTTCAGTTCGAACCGAACTGTGGTAATCGCTACATATACGCAATAATTTGTTGGAGAAGTAAAATAAATAAAATGTTTACTTTAAGGGTAGAAATGTCAATTTAATATATTTGGGGGAAAAACTACCACTTTTAAAATAATTGAGGGGGCTAATGTGCTCACATAAATAATTGAGGGGGGAAAAGTGCTATAAATATATAACTTAGGGGGAAAAAGTGTCATTTTCCTTTTTTTTTTTTTAAGAAAAAAAAGTACATTTTTAATATACTAAATGTACATTATTTTTGTACTGAATGTACATTATTTTTTTACTAAATGTACGTTATTTTACAATAGACAAAATATGATCCACACAATAATGATTGTCCATAGCACTAGGTCTACATACATAAATTATCTCATAGATGCCTTTCAAAAAAAAAAAAAAAAAAATTTATCTCATAGATGGTTTTACTAAAAGTACAATGAACATTTATTAACTTGAAAGTTTTGCAGCCTAAGCTTTAAATTCATCATCTACATACCCTCAACTAACACAAGTTAACAATTACATATACTAGTATTGTCCCGTGCGATGCACGGTTAAGTTTTGTCGATTTGTTTGTAGTATTTCAATTGACTAAAATGAATTTATTTATTGGACGCCAATTATGTTAAAGGTATTTGTCTAACCAAAAAATATGAATAACAATTTGATGTTTAACAAAAACTAATTGTCATCATTCTATATATAATAATATGTAAAGAACACAATATTACACATTATTAAACACTTCATGGTAAACAACGTTAGTAGTTGACGTACTAACACTGTTCGAGTCACTACAAATTAAAATTTTCAATCCGTCTGGATTGCTCACTCTAGAAGCAGCAACGTACAATTGACCATGAACAAAAACTGGTTTCTTTAAAAGTAAGCCAACGTGTGATAGTGTTTGTCCTTGACTCTTGTTAATTGTCATTGCATAGGACAACATTAAAGGAAACTGTCTTCTTTGGAATTTAAAAGGTAATCTCGGATCTGATGGTGTCATAGTCATTCGGGGGACCAACACTTTGGTTCCTGCGTTGTTTCCAGACATAATTTTTCCTTCAATCACATGATCTGCTAACTTCGTAATAACCAACCTAGTTCCATTGCATAGTCCAAGTGAATGATCTATATTCCTCAACAACATAACAGGTGACCCGACCTTTAAATTCAAACAATGGTTTGGAATGCCGGATGCCCTTATACCATTTAGAAACTCGGGAGTGTGCACATCATCAAGTAAGGTGCCATTTGAGTCTGATTTGCACACACTATCACAACTGTAGTAAGTCCTACTATCCCCAGTATGCAGATCACTCATGTATTCATTAATGGAGTTAACGACGTCAAGGGTTGGGGCTAATATAGCTCGACCTTCAAGAAGACTGGAATCTGAATTCCCAGACATGAACATAGGGAACGTACTTGCAACTATGTTGGTAATTGGGTCTCCATTAGATGGTAATAACAGTTCGTTTGGTATCTCTACCTCTGCATGACCATCATTTTGACCACCCATAGTTCCATCACCTATACTCGCAATCCAATCTGCAAAGTCCTCTAGTTTTTTCATGTCAATCCCCGGCATGCTTCGATTTAATCGAAGGTTTTTTGTCAATCTCAAAACCTTACAATTGTTCCATAGATACGATGAGTTGATTGTTGCAGAAATAATATCCTGTCTAGATCCTTTTGGTACAACTGGTAATATTTGCCGGAAATCGCCACCAAACACCACCGTCTTTCCACCAAATGTTTGGTCAGCACTGTTGGGATTTTGAAATTGAAGCAAATCTCTCATTGTCCTATCCAATGCTTCAAAGCAGTGTTTGTGCATCATAGGAGCTTCGTCCCATATAATCAATTTACTCCGGACGATTAATTCGGCTAGATGGCTACCTTGTTTAATATTACATGTGGAGTCTTCGTTTATTGCAATAGGGATGGAAAACCTTGAATGAGCGGTTCGACCACCAGGAAGTAACAACGACGCAATACCACTGGATGCCACATTGATAACAATATCACCGCTAGCTCGCAATGTTGATGACAACGCCTTCCATAGATAAGTTTTCCCAGTACCACCGTAACCATAAACGAAGAATAGTCCACCACTGCCATTAGACAAATTTTGGATGATTGTGTTGTAGATCTCTTTCTGCTCATCAGTCAATCTTGATGCCAATTCTTCGCTCTCTGCTTGGAGTGCTTCGCGATCATAGTTCAACTCCTCAAATAACAAAATGTTATCAACCAATCTTGAATCATCCATGTTAGGTGTTGGCATCGGAGGAAAGTTTTTAAGAGACTTATTGTGTATTATCAACAATTTTTCTAGCTCAATTAAACCGAAGTTTTTTTTCTCACACTCTTTTAGTATCAAATCTGTAAAGTAAAAAAAAAAAGTAATAGTATTGTTAGTTATTAGTTATTAGTTATTATATTATATATATATATATATATATATATATATATATATATATATATATATATATGTAATTAAATATATTATGTAATTAAATATATGTTTTATGCACGATTCTAAAACCTGGTTTATTTAGTTGTTTTCTATGCATGAATTCAGCATCTTCGACTAAATGATGCCACACCTCATCCCATACATGTTCAGGTCTGGATAATGAGTTTGAAAGCAATAGTATAACAAACAACTTTCTCATCGCATGTCCAGATGACCAATAACTTGCTTCCTCAATTGCATCAATATACTCTTTGTCGTCATCTAATAATCCACGTGCGTAACATGCATCCCTGAATGTCATGTATTCTACCCCATTAAATGTCATAATGTCTTTAAAACTGGTTGGTCCACGAACAATATTCAAAAGACATCTAAGATAGTATATTTCACCACTACCAGGAGGTACGAAGAAGATGCGACCAATTGAAAACCCCTTCTTTCTTGGATGCCACTCTCGAATATCTCTCTTCCAAACAAATTTATTGGGCATTTCAATGTATGTTAATGAGCGTGCATCTTCATATTTCTTATTGGCTTCGAACCATCCTTTGAACATACTTTGTCCCACTGTTTCACGACCTAAAACATTATCAATATTTTCATCATCAGCGAATACAATGGACTGACAATCTGGAAGGTGGAAGCTTAATCTTTCAACAGCCGGTGTCCGATATTGGACCTCAAAACTGAATAGTCGCCAGGCTGCCTCGCATGCTGAAACGTACCTACAATCATAGTACATATTAATCTCATCCACCACCTCCTCACCGTTTTCATCGATGGTACTATTGTAGAATTCTGCTGTGACACGGTCATTACCCTTGTTGACATACTTGAAGAGGTACTTGATTGATCTCGACTGGTTGCACCATTCTACGTTGATATGAGCCTTGTACCTCAAAAGCAAATATCTATTATGCGGGACAACATATCGGCTGTCTAGTTCTATACCATTCTTCTTGACTGTTCTACCATTGTCCCGACGCATATAAACTGGATACCCATCCTGGTCAAACTTAGACTCTGCTACAAATTGTTTGGGGAAGTGCTTTGAACACTTTCCATTAACCATGCACGGAGAATTCCTTCTGGCGATTCCACATGGTCCATGAACCATGAATTCCTCGACTGCATTGTAGTATTTCATTTGCATTGTCTTGTCTGGTACCTCAGCCTTTATGATTGAATCCATGTACGTCGGACTCGTCATGTCAACTTTGTTCTTGAGGAATATTAGAATATGTGCATGCGGTAGTCCACGTTTTTGGAATTCAATGGTGTAAATAACTACATTTACATAATAATCTTCCATTAGTTTAACATGATATACGTAGACAAAAGTAAAATAAAAAAAAAAAACATAGCGTTTAATGGAATTCAATATATACCTGATTTCACAGGACCAAAAAGCTCACCATTCTTTACTTCCTTTATTAGACAATCCAATTTCATCTTGAATATACGGCATAAAATATCCGGACGATCTTCTGCATTGAGATTTCGCTTGGTAATGTACCGCTGTATTTCGGGCCATTTTGGATTACACGTGAACGTTATGAATAGGTTGGGGTAACCAATGTGTCTACAAATGGCCATTGCATCCTGGTAATTCTGGATCATGTACCTTGCTCCGCCCGTAAAACTTGATGGTAAAAGTATTCGCTTTCCTTGGGTGCTAGCTTGTACTTCACCTCGCGTCAATGCATCTGTCAGTCCTTTCAAAGCTTCGCACCTCAGCGATTTTTGGTGTGTCCTTATGTATATAAGCCTGGCAGATTCAACCATTGTGTATGCATCCACTATAAATTGTTGAAATAACCTCCGAGCATACAATATGGTAGAAATCTCTTCTAACCTTTCATGTAATCGATAAGCAAAATACTCCCGTTGAGATATACGTTGCCTTGCATTGTTGTTGTTAGAACCATTGGTTGCAAACTGTATATCCTCTCTATATCCATCTTCCCCATAAGGAAATAGAATAGGATATTGCAATGGTAGGTATGATGGATTTAATTCAGTAATTCGCTTAAGCACCCCGGAATTGCTCTCAACCAAAATATCTCTGTGGCCTATGGATGGATCTAAATCACCAACAATAAGTGCAGCAACCTCTGACGTCGTTGGTAGGTTATAAGTTCTTGCATCTTTAGTTCTCTTACCAATTAATCTCATTTTTATCTCTACACGTGGATTTCTCTCAATTTCTGCCTTGGCCATACGGAATGATTTAACCAACACATTATTCCCGTCTAAAACCTCCTTAATGTCCTCCACCACCTCAACATGCAAATCTTGTGTAGCTATGTTCTCCCTTTATAGAGGAATAAAGAAAATATTTATTTAAAGTAATTGTTAAATGAATTGATGAAATTAACAAATTGTGGCATCATGTACTATACCTGACAGAAGCAATACGATTCTTAATTTCATTATCAGTATCATGAATATACAATTGTGCAAACTTCGGATAGGTCCCATTTGGTGGAATCAGGCTACCAATACGATGGAAGTTCTGACCATGGATTCTGAAAATTGGAGGGGATGACCCATTGTTTATTGTCCTGTCTATCTTAGCACCCATTGATGTAAAACAGAACATATTATTATACGATCTTATATTTTGAAGAAAATATTTCTGCTTTTCACTCAATGTAAAAAAAAAGATCATATAACTTCTTTGGAGGTAGTGTGTTTCTAGGCAGTTTGATTTTCCCGTTCACACAACATCCTGAGTATTTAACTGTGTTTTTTGTTTTTGACTTGTAGAGTCTTTCCTCGTACCAAAAAAAACCACCACAATGCTCACATATGTCGTCCGGGTCACCAAGGTCTACAGATTCAACTGAAATTGTAGTATAGAATATTAAGAATTTGTGAGATAATATTTACTTTATACAATCAAATTCTTATAAACTAACCATCTTGTATGTTTGATGTGTTTGTTTGATGACCAAGCACTTCATCCATTTCTACACTTAGGTTGGGATAGTTGTTTTGAGTCGGGAGAGCTGAATCACAATTTGACTCCAAATGCATTTGCACATCATTTATTGTACCATTCCCACATCCTAATAGAATTAACATCTTATTAGATGTTATAATAATAATAAGTAAATTTGAACAGAATATATACTTTCATTGTTTTTTTTTTATATATATCAAATTTTGATTTTGAATATTCGTACGTGTAGATGATCCATTGTCTGACGCATGATGTATGTCGTGGATTGATGAACTAATTAATGTGCGTTCTACAAATGATGACATTAAAAAAATTAATAATTCACATTACAAAAAATAACATACAAAAAAAAAAAAAAAAAAAAAGACTTTAAGTCTAACCGTGAGAAACTATACGCAACGGGGTAGAGAGTGATGCTTGAAATACACCGTAGATATGATTTCGTGTTGTAATATCACATAGACCTCCACTGGTTGAAGCTTTACTTATCTTAGAACTTGACACAATTTCATTCTCTGAGAAAATAAACAATAAATAAATAAATAAATATATATATATATATATATATATATATATATATATATATATATATATATATATAACAATATATTTAATGTTATCTACAGATAAGTGCAAAGGAAATTGACTACAAATGGAAATTATAATTTTTATTTTATACCGTAATAATAATTAAATAATTAAATACTATAAAATATAAAAGAAAATAACATTCTATAAATATTGTTATGTTCTAATAATAATACTAACTTACTAACTATAACTAAATAGAAAAATAAATGTATAAAAAAGATTGGTTCGAATGTTTTTTAAATAAAGTATTACTGTGATTTATTTAATGTAATTTATTGACCCAAAGACCAAAAAATATTACCCCCAGAAATATAAATAGATGAACAAAAGAAATATTATTAAAATTCTATCCATTCGTTTTGTAATATTATAATTGACTAATATTATTTATACAATGTAAAAAATGGTAATTATAGTTTTTATAAAGTAAATAATACATTAAATAAAAAAAATGTTAACAATAATCCCCACGCCAATAATAATAATAATAATAATAATAATAATAATATAATAATAATAATAATAATAATAATAATAATAATAATAATAATAATAATACGGAGTAATAAAGAAAATGATAGTCAATAGATATGTCTCTCGGGAAGCTTCTCATTTCACCATTTCTGTCTCTCTCTACACTTTTCAAAACGAAGAAGATGCTTCTACTTCTCCTACTTGGATATGTTTTTTTGGAAAGCTCAAGGTTGTGGATCTATGTATTTTTTCACATCTCAAGTTCATAGATCCTAAAATATTCTGAGATTTCACTATGAAGTATGAATCCACTGGTTCGGTTAGAGGGGAGGTCCAGGGTGAGACTGAGATCACTGGATGACGAAACATCCACGGGTTCGGGTTGTTCAATGCGGAAATAGTCAGATCAGCATGAAAAGTATGGGAAATGGTCAGATCGCAACTGAGGCGGGTAACAGAGAGAGAGAGAGAGGATTGGGATGATTTGATGAGATAGGGATGAATGTACTCCGCATAGCTTTCGTACTTCTATTACACCACTTATAATGCTTTAAGAAGAGATGAATGTTAGACTGACCTCTGTGGTTCTCAGCAGTCCTTCGCTTGGATCCTATACAAACAGAACCTGTAAGTTTCTTCATTTCTCACTAAATAGCTTTAAAGTAGTGATAGCTTAGATTTATAGCAGCTGTTCAGTTAGTGGAATACTAATAGTTGGATTCTAAATACCAATTTGATTATTAATTGTGTTGCCTATTCATATTTTGCAGTGTTAAATGTCGAAAATAAAATTAGTATTTTTTGACCGTGAAAATAATATATTTTAGTAAAAATTCTAAAATATTATTTTATGACCAATGTTTTGCAAGTCTAATCTCGCGTGCAAAGGTTTTAGAACATTTGTTTAGTTTTTTCTGCTGCCCGAGAACAGTTTGTGGCTTATTAGTCCTTATTAACGGTTGCATTTGATGCAGTCCACAGCCGAGATTATATGGCAGGGGAGGGAGCCTTGGAAGGAAAATGAGACTGGCCTCACATTCGATTGCAGGTAAACTTCCTAAACCATGGCATACCTAACCCATCATCTCTATTTGCTCTCTTTAATTTTTTCAATGTTCCAGTTTTCCTTCTGAAAAGGAAAACAAAGATAAAAATGGAGAAGGGTGGAAGAGTATATGGGTACTCCAGTTTTTGTGCATACATAGTGAGTTGATGTCAACCATTACCGTGAATGTTATGAATTTAGAAAGTGAATGTTGAATTTTATTATTACCGTTTAATATTGCTGCTCAGCATTTTGCTTCCCCTTAGGCCCTTATATTTAATAACTCTCTTAATAAAGTGCTAAATGAAGAAGCTTTTAGTATTTCACTTAAGATGATCTCAATGTCGTTTTGAGGTTACTGTCTTTAGGACAATCATGTTGGCAGCTATCTCCCATACTATGAAAATAAACCCCACATCTGTGTGTAACTTGGGCCTAAATTTGTGGGTATTGGTGAGTGTAAACTTCCATTGTATTTATGGCTTTATGCCCATGTCCAGATGGTTCCAGCGTTCTTGTCCATTATTGAGTGATGTGATGCTCAATTGACAACCTGCTTATCTGTGCTGAGCATGTATGGGGAGTTAGAGTCGGGAAGGAGGGTAGGGGCTTTGAGGGGTGAGGTTTTGTGTTTCGGTGTTTCCTAAAATTACAGAGTAAAGCTCATTTTTCTGAGATGGTTTTGCTTAATCCTCTATATTTGTGTACTTCTGTTGATAACCTGAGCATAACATCTGTTCATCTTAGTGATATTAAAGGAAAAATATTTATTATTTCAGTTCTGAGACGAAATCTTCGTCTGTTTGTCTTTTGGTGTCTTGTTCAGAAAGCACGGTGTAGTGCACTCATCATCTAAGAACAGCCAGTTCACCTAGAGTTCCGAATGGCTTTAACGACTTTGAGGTTAAGGTGTTTGACGGATGTGCAAACCCATACCTCGGTCTGGCTTCCATCATTGATGCTGGGATTGACGGTCTATGCAAACACTTAACTCTCCCCCAACCATTAAGTAAGTTTGCACAATTCTCTTACAATGTCAGCTCTGTTAAAACTACTCCATTCAGACAACATAGTAGTTTGCTGCTTGTCTTAGTTTGTCATAGAATTCTTAATATTAGTTTTGAGATATTTTGATAATTTATCCCGCTAATTTTTGTATGGATGACGTCTACCCTCTCGAGAAACTGTGCCAAGCCGATATACCTAAAGGAGTACACAATGCGGCATGAGGATCCCGCTAATTTCTGCGTGGCTGGTGTTTACCCTCTCGAGAAACTACGGCAAAGGGCATGCGAGGCTTGGAAGGAAATACCACTCTCCTGTAAGCTCACTATACACTATACATACACTCTATGCTCAATTGCTCATTAACATATATGTCAATTAGAAATTCCCATTTCTCGGCCTCTTACTCACATTGTTGCACATTATTTTTTTTCACAGCATTAGTTAACTTTATATTGTTGTCTTTTATTACTAAGTTTTAGACTGTAAATTTTTTTTTACAAAAGCTAATTGTAATGTTCTGAGTACATCATTTGAGGATATTGTTGCACTAATTTGAGATTTTCAATCATGAGAATTATCAAAAGTACTTATTTTCAATAATAATCTATACATCTATACATTCAAAAGTACTTATTTTCAATACTTTACAATATTGTATAACTCAAAACTATAATAATCTACACATTTATACATCCGAAGAAAAAAAAATAATGGACTCTCTATAAACATCTATTATAGATCTATAAATATTTCTGCTTCTCACTCGATGTAAAAACAATGGACTATTATAGATCCACAGGAATTTCTTCACCATGGACTCTAATCACCAAATCATCACATCAGCTAATCACCACATCTGCTATATATGTTTAGGAATACTTGAACTCACTGCAAAAAAATATTCAACAATCCAAACAATTTGATTACAATGCAACCACCTACTTGGAAGAGGAGGTGATTGAAAAACTTGATAATCAAACCTAATATTCACAAATTCACAATTCACAAATATTTTAAAACAATAAATTTTTCAAACCACGGTAAAATAAGCAAAACGATCCTTGAGTCAGGCACAATTTATTAAAAGATCCATGTACCATTTTTTGTCCTTGAGCCACCAAAGACCCTAGTAGCAGATGTAACCAAAATTAAAAAGAAAAGAAATGCCAAAAGGCATCATACTGTCTTTGTAACCCAATAACCAAAAAAAAAAAAGATAAAATGCCAACAGGCATCCTGGTCCACATGCATCAGAAACCTCAGCAAAGCAATTTATATTCAATCACTTTCCTCCTTAATCCCTTTGTTCTTTGATGTCTGGGTTGATGAAGACTCGTCTAGAAGGCGCCTCTTTACAACTGAACTATCACCCACATCATCTTGATTGCAAGCAACACCAACCCCAAGAAGATTTTCCCCTTCATCAACCTCAACAAATTCCTAATTAAAAAAAAAAAATCAAACTTATTATTTGCACATAATAATCGTTACAATAAAATAACATAAAGTGTACCTCCTCAAAATCATCATCCTCCACCATTTGGTCAACTTTGGAGCTCAAATACTTGTCAGGAATGCGCAGAAGCTCTGGTGCATGCACTTGAATCAATCTTTGGTCAGTGTTTATCCTCATGACAGAAAATACGTTGTCGAGATTCTCAAATTGTTCTTTCCTAACGACCACCCTAAATAGCATGCACTGTTTAACCAAGGATTGTAATTCTGATGGATCAGTTGAGTTGCCTAACAATAAAAAATAAATCTCCCCGTTAAGAATCAACAACACAACAACACGTACTGTAAAATACATTTATATATATTCCCAGAACTAAAATGTTATAAAAATATACATTTGAATGCCTTGACTTCAACTCTGCAACAGAAATTCCCAATAGCTGATTGCACTCTCTGTCCCAAAGGAGAAAAGGTGCATTTCCTTCTAAATCTGCAACTCTGATCTTCAACCTGTATCTCAAATTACCTTCTCGACAGCTCTTTTCACACTTTTGTACAGTAATATAGCCCACCTGTTGACTCAAGCTTCTTGTTACAGCTAGAAGCTCTACATGAACTGTAATACCAATTGACAGAATCCTCTATAGCAACTATCCTAGCTGCAACCCAGTAGTCCCCATACTATAGCATAAAAAAGTTGTAAAATGCATATAAGTACCTGCATGGATAGGTTGCTATAATCTCAACACCATTTGTGGCTCTACTGTATTAGGTTTTTATATAATTTTAAAACCTAATACAGTAGATTTTTATTATTATACAACACAAACCAATTACCTCTCTGGTTTGGTAAATTTCACTGATAGTTTTCATATCTTGAGCATTACATTGGGTCTGCTCCATCATTGGAAAGGATTCAATGCTCCTCATGGGTGTTTGCACACCACGAAGAATTAAACTAAAAATAGTAAAGTCATAAGAAACAATTTTTTTTAAAAAAATAGTACAATACTTAAAAATAATTACTTTTACCTCTCCCTAAACTCCAAAAACTCTTTAGATTGCTGGTTAATAAGGACTTGTGTCACATCATATGAGCTGCAAAGCCTCACCTCGCCATCTAGACATTTAACAAATGTTACACATTTTACACAGAATAGTGTATATATAAGTATATATGTACTTACTCGTGGCATCTCTCCTAATTCGACAGAACTGCAAGATCACCACCATTGGTTCATGACTACTTGCATTAAAAAATGGCTCAATCTTACCAACATGATCATCCCATAGAGTACACCTAATCTGATTTCCACTGTAAAAGTTGAGGGAAATTAGATTTCTCAAACTTTTAATACCAAAAAATAAATAAGTACCCAACTTTATATATAGATATAGATTTAATAATTGATAAGTAAAATTGGGGAGCTTATATGCTGGGATCCACAGACTGGGAACCCTTTGGGCAATCCTCTTACTGTAAGTCTCCATTTGAGTGCCTTTGTTTAACTGTTGAGATCACTGGTTCCGTTACTCTTTCACCATTGCACATCCTACTTCTTTTCAAGTTGATATAATATTATCATGAAATGATTTTTAGTGGTGATAAACCTATAATAAATTGATGCCTTAATTTTCCACCCAGGCATGGTGATTGATCCAACCAATCATGACCAGACTAAGATTTGGTCTCCCCTTTTCCCTTAACATTATCTCATTAGCAACTTGACTTTCTTAATTTAAATATATATTAAATAATTACCTTAAATCCTCAATGATAAAGGCTATAAGCCAAGTTGTTCTCCAGGAAATCATTTTTTCCTGAGTTGATATATAATACAGATTTAAATATATATATATTAAATAATTACCTTAAATCCTCAATGATAAAGTCTATAAGCCGAGTTGTTCTCCCAGAAATCATTTTTTCTTGAGGTGAGTATATTTCAGCCACTTTCCAATTACATCTGTAATGAAATTTAAAAACAAAATTTAACACACTGGAAAATAAAAATAATTTTTTTTTAAAAAAAAAGGTAATTTCAACATAATATACGTACCAACCAACAGCTTATCATTAACACCTTCAACTTTTAGAGCCTCAATGGTGTGAGACGGAACATCTGACTTGGAAACTCAATTCTTTTGAATTGCTTAGCTATAGTCTGGTAATTGAACTTGATCATGTACTTGTGAGGGGTTGTCCTGTACGTGTAGAAGTTGTTGATGACCAAGAAATTCTTAACAGCCCAAACTGAACCTTCCTTAAAATTGTTAATGAATTTTGGAACCAATTGTTTTGGGATGTGGGCATGTACCAATGTTCCCTGCATATATATATATATATATATATATATATATATATATATATATATATATATATATATATATATAAATATATAAATATTGAAATTTAAATAAATATATATAATTGAAATTAAACAGTGTTATATTCAATATGAGATTGCATTGATTTCCTTGCATCTGTTATCACCTCAGAATCATGAAACACAATTTCCTTGCATCTGATTGCATTGCTTCCTGTCCTCTCCGATACATTGTATGCACGAATAACGCGAACCTTCATTGCACTCGTAACATTGAAGGGTGAGATATCACTTCCAAGAACATACATTGGATACATACTGTATGAGAGATGAGAGATATTACTTGTTGTTCAGCAACGTGTGGTTGAATGCATAGGCCTGTAATTCACTATTTATAGAATTGTTAAGGAATCAGCAAATTGTTCCATATTACGTTAAGTAATCCCAAAAGTTGTAATCCTTATTTTGTATG